AAAATCATTAATCGATAAAATATGTTTATTAATTATTGATATGTCTATTCGCTGATCAAGCATCGATTGCTAGACGAGAATGATAAAATTATTCAAAGTAAGCAGTTTGTGACGGTTGCGCAAGTCCAGCCTGGTATTCGCCATTTTCGCGCTCGGTCTGAGATCAAGTTTCCGGGAAATGCGTTGTTATCTTACGATATGAGTGTCTACGAGATAAATTTTTACGCAAAATCTTTAGAGAAAACATTATTAGCATTAAAAAACGTTATTAAAGCTAAAAGGAAATGACATTTTTATGCAATTTCACGATACAGATTTGATGAGTTATTACTAAATCATTCGAATAGCGAAACGATGAAAACGCAGAGTAGATTGCTCGTATATTACAGTCTTTACGGTATTTTATTATCGTCGAAACATGGAATGACAAAATAATGGAGACCATGTTTAAAAATTAGAAAAAAAGTTACGCAGTTTGTTATGTCAAATGTCAATCATCGGTATGATAAAATTAAAATAATGAAATAATTAATACGTTTATTTTGCGCGATTAAATCTGCTTCACAAAGACACTATATTTTCAAACACTTTAGAACAAATATTTGCTTTACTCCATATTATGATCGACATATTTTCATTATTAACGAAATAGAATTATACGAAACAATGCGAATTTTTTTTAAATAAAAAATCGAAACAAATACTCTAATACAATACTGCAATAATTCTTTTTAAACAACAGAATATATCGTTATATTTATTATAAATTTATATTGAGAGAAAGAGAAATAATGTATATTAACTTGCTTATCGCTAAGGGGCAAAGATGACTGATTGAAATGAGTCACATGTAAGATACATTTTATATTTCATTTACGAGCAATAATCCTACAGTGTATACAATGCGATATGACTTCCAGCTCAAAACGAAATGATGGAACCCATGGATGATAATAAATACGCGCAACGATTACCGCCATTCATTCATTCGTCCACTCATTCATTCGGCATTTAATTTTTCTCTTGCTAAATTAAATTTAACGTTTTAGTTAACACTGAAGATCACGTCGCGTAATATACACATACATATTCCTCTCGTCGATTAGAACACTCGGAAACCATCAACAATATTAGATAATATTAGTATCAGTGTACCTATACACGCTCTTGCAAATTGATTTTCATCACTCTCATCATCGATTTTGATTTTAGAAGCTGCTAGTACCGTTCTCTAAATTTCCTTAGAAGTCCCCTCGACCATTTCAAGTATATATAACTCGCGCGCCATTGTTACGATTCTAGTGTACACATACGGTTAGGAAATTTAATTTAGGATACTATACTTGTGTATTTATCTTAATATTTACGTTCGATTAATGACACGAAATTTCTTGCCATTTATATTACGTACGGAAAGGAAGGATCGTGCACGATCTTATTTTAATGCTAATGGATATCAAGAAAATTGTATATCTATTAAAATTAATCAATATCTATCTTGATATGAATAAAAATTAATTTTCATAATAAATCAATTTCTTATAATAAAATTCTGTAAAATCTTATAATTCGAAAACATATACAATGCACATTTTGCAAAAACAACATAGGAAAATTTATTCAATAATTAAATAAGTATTGAATTTATATATTTAAGATATAATTTAGGAAGTATATATTAATAAACTTAATAAGAGATAATAAAAATTAACGTTAAAATATAAACTTTATAGACGTTTAAAAAAATGTACAAATTGTGATTATAAAAATTTACAACACTTACAGTTTCACATGTGAACATGACACAACACAAAAAGAAAAATGAAAAAACTTGATCATTAAATGGTTAATCGCACATCACAAGATGATAGAAAACACATACTATTTCTCGTTTGGCATTTGGCATCGATCGTAATCGTTACGATGATTATACTATAGTAAATACTAGGCAATTCTCTCGGACATCTCCGGAATACTACTTAATATGACACGCTTATTATTCACGATAGTAGATTTTATAAGAATCTCATTAAGTAAAAAAAAGGAGTTTTCAGGAATTTTTTTAAACAAAAGAGAGATTCTCTTAGAAAATTTTAGTTTCCTCAAATGAAGTCATTTTTCGATTTACTATATATATATATATATATATATATATATATATATATATATTTATGTGCATCTTCATATATTGCATATGAGATTACATCAGTACATTAATGGCGTATTAGATTTTCGTATAGAAATCAGCAAATTAATTCCGTAACATTTGTGGAAGAAAGTAGGAAGCAACGCGTATTATTAGCGATGAATCTTACATTTTTAATCCTTTAATGCAACTATTTCGCATGAGATATTCCACGAATATAATTATTATTCGTCACTATTCGCTATTTGTTACTGTTCGTATCAAATCTATTATTACAGTAATCAACGAGTGAGACCATAATGGGAAGAATAAGAGAATCGCACGAATTTTTTCTTAATTACATCGAAATGTATTTTATTTCTTCTTAGTTTCCTCGCGTTTGACAGAATTTGCGAGAAGTTATGTCAAAGATTTCCTTTTGGTTGTCCTTTATCAACAAACGGTCATATAACAATAAAGGACACGACAGTAAAATCAAACAGCTGTACGTTTCTCTTTGTAAAAAAGATCTCTATATAAAAGAAAAGTTGCGTGTAAATTACCTTGTAAAAATTTTCGGACTATACTTATACTCACATTATATGTATATATCACTGGCATAATTTTTCAATACACGAATAGAAATCGTTCGACGTATTTTTTTCTGTTTTCGACAGAATTTCATTCCTCCGAGATTGTCGCGACACGACATTCTCGTGAGATAATAAAGACGCGTTTTTCCACGCTACTCTTCAAAAACGCGATAGAAAAATAGTTCTGAGAAATCTGGGTCCCTCTCTATCGCGAATGAAACTGAAAATTGTAACTCCCGTTCGCAGGGGAATGGCAGTTTTGAAATTTTATTCTTCCCTTCTTTTTTCGCATTGTCGAAATCACTTTCACGTGTCGACGATTTTACACGATGATTAATTGACTTGATCTTGTTACGGGAAATCGAAGATCGTTTTTTTTTCACTATTAATGGTAATCGTAAACTTTCTCTTTTTCTTTTTTCGAATCTTATTTATTAACCATCCTCTTCTCGATTTTTTTTCCACGTTTTCTCATCACGTTATTCTGCTCGTCAATCTTTTCAAACTTTCCATTTATTCATCGATGTTTTTCCTTTCAACAAGTCCAATTTTTCTTGGTAATGATGTGTATATTTTTGTGCGTTAATATATCTTTTTATTTTTTAATATTTTTTATAGGAAGTGAATATTTTCATTTACCTACATTACAACTGCGATGAATTTATTTAAGAATACTTAATGTCACTCTGGTCTTACATAGTTTCAGCGTGTTTAATCTTTTCTATATTAAAAAATGGTTTTTCCCAAGAGTAAATTTTATTTGCATTATTAATTTACTTATCGTAATTACTATAATTATTATCATTGCTGTGATATAAAAAGACATATGTGTAAAAAAACATAAAAATATATTTATAACGATAAAAGAGTTAGAAAGAGATAAAAGAAAAAATAAATATTAAATGACTATTTATATTATTTGGCATTTAAATCTTTCTGTTGTTTATTAATGAATTAATTATATATGTTAATTATACATGATCGATTTTGAAGATCACATTTCAGATTTTAATTTTTGTTTGCTTTACAAAAAGATTATTTGTTCAAAAATGTAAATATTATCAAATTTATGAAATGGTATATGTGTATGACATTTAATAAATACCTGTAGGTAAATATTCATTTTATATTTTTAACTAGAGAGTAAAGCCAAAAGCAAAATAATGTCAGTTTGTGTACATGTGACACTTTTTCTTTACAAAGTTTTGTTCATTAATATTGAGAAAATAAAAATTAGAAAAAAGAAAAATTTTATTCTTCAAATTCGATAAAATTGTTGGCACAACAGGAATGATGCAAGTATAAGAGAAATTATCTGCTGTAAAGTCTCATGTAAATAATCGCAACACATACATATACATATACATATACATATATGTACATATACAGTGTATTCACTATTAAAGCAAATCTTTAGTATTTGCAGAACTTTTTTTTTACGCAAATATAAAAATTTTATCTATAAATTCTTCAATATCTGTCATATCAATGTATTTGTTGTTGTAAATTTTCCATCATTATCTTTGTATAAAAGGGGCTTAGAAATTACAACATGAACGTCAAGGAAGCAACCGTTCAAGGAAATTTAAGACCACTTCGAACAATTTGTTATCGAATACCCATTTTTTTTATTTTCAAGTCGTAAGTAGTTATAGTCCGTCTCGCGTATGCGATTTCGCTACGTATGAATTTCAATGCACGAATTAGCAAAGCGATTACATTGGTCGTATCTTATATCGCAAGCACATATTCCGCGTCTTATCATTTCGCTGCGATTCGCACTTTAAAATGTAGTTTGGTTATCAGAAATTTCTTGATATTTATTCAATCAATCTCTCAACGTCAAATCATAATTTGACATTATATAATTAAATTTATATAATGATAAATTTACGAAAAATTTACGCTATTTACCATTTCCGATGCTATATTTTGCACTTGGCCATTTTTTCCTGAAATTTACGAGAATTTTTATTCCAGAAAGAGAATATTCCATGATTCATAACCCAGTGATTTCTTTCTAATATATGATTATTTATTCCAAACGCTGGCATTTAATTTTTATTAAAACATTCGATATTCCATTATTCATGAAGGATGTAAATGCAAAAAAAACACTCGTATTTTCAAGTGTTCCAAAACACTTGATAAAGTTAAGAAGCTTCTCATAAATTCGTAGTAGATTCATTCGAATAAATGTTTCAGATTTTTTTATTTTTAATATTTTGTTTTGTTATATTCATTTTTAACTTCGATATCCAAGGAAATATTAAGAATACAAGAGAACTTTCGCTTTTGTATATCATATATATGATCGCATACCATAAATTATCTTAATACGGAAGATACAAAACGCATATCGCTTGAATTTGAAACAAAATTTGCCAAAAAAAAGATTTTATTTCTTCAAATGTGACGAAATTTTCAATTTTTTGGTCTGACTGATCGGGTTCACTTTTAAAAAGCCTAAACACTTGTCAGTCAAAAGACGTTCTTGCCGCTTTTTTGGTCATCGTCGCGCAAATGAAAATTTGTGCGACGCTCGTGCGCTTAGAGAGAAATTTCTTGCGACATTTTTTCGTTTTCTTTTTATAAATTCCACAAAAATGTGCTGTTACAAAAACATCTTGTCTCCTTCTACACTACAAAGTCCCATCGGGGAATCACAAATCACGCAATTCGTATATAGGTCCGTACGATTATCTACCTATCTACCTACCTTTTACAACTCGACAACATTAGTTCGCCGAGCGATAGATCGATTATACGGTTACATTACGTTACACGGTAATGAAATTGCACTAATACATTGCACACGTTCTCTGGCGTTCTCTTTGGCATCTCTACAAATTATTACACGTAGGTATATTTCGCTAATTATAGGTTCTGAGAGAGAGAGAAGGAGAAATATATCGCCCGACATATAATAGGCCCGTGCGAACACTCGAAAGAAACGCATTCTCGCTTCTCGCTTCGGATAGAGAATAATATCTCCTGAGGATAATATCGACGTACTATACATGAAAAGGATGTGATCCTTCTTTGTATAATAAGATCATATTCCATTACGTTACTTGTACATCTTTGGAATCTCGTAAATAAACCCAAGATTATTCGATTTACACGTGTATCATACGTTAGCTATTTCTAAGTATCTCGAATGTTTCCAACAAAAACAAACATTCTACATGCACAATTAAATCAACAAACGAGCAACTAAGATGATTCAACAATTATAAATATAACTGCAATAATAGATAAAATATCGCAAGGAACTTTTTCGATCAACTGAAATGTATTTCCTTCTGAGACGAAGAGATACTTGAATGTAAAATATAAAATATAAGAGACATATACTTTAATTAAAATATGTATAACGAAAGTTCGAGATATGCTCGACTCGTTGCTGACAATCGCCTCGAGGGAATTATGCTACTTAATAAAATAAATATTAAGCTTACGCTATACGCACAAAAATCTTTGACTATTCACGCGACTCAGACTCGGAGTACTCGCAATCCTACTAAAAAAATGACGGATTATTTTATATACATATACATACATATATATATATATATATATATATATATATGTATATATATAAAATTCTCTGTCATATTATATATGATGACAGATTCGTCCTTGAATATCGTATACAGCGACGTTACGGATTTTCCTCGCGAGAGTTTTCGTTTGTCAGATCGATCCGTTGGTAACCATAGTAAGAGTATAGACCGCGACGCAGGTCAGGCATACATTATTACAATCATATACAGTTTTGATACATCTAGGTAACAATAATCCGACCAGTAATCGGTGAGCTTTCTTTTCCCCTCCCTCCAAAGAACAATGGCGTAATCAGATCGAAAGTACGGACGATTTGTGCGCTTCTAAGCATGTATATACTTTACAAAGGTTCTTTCTTTATACTCACCCCTAATGTGATTGTGAAAGTATAAGACGACGATTATTTTAGGATAACTCTATACATCATGTTATATTTCATCTCTTTGATTTTCGTTGAAATAGCAATAGAATCTTGGACAAATTTCAACTGGAATATGTCGAGTATTGACATGTTCGCGATATATAACTATAAATACTTTTCCTATGAAGATCGTGACAGCTCGAAAAATGTTTCAAGTTTCGATATTTATATATTTTTAGGAACATACGATTTAAGTGCGAGCAAATTGTTCGACTTTATCTAAAAGTGAATGTTTCGAAAAATTTCAAGAGATTTCGATTTTTCGTAAAAATCTGAGCAAATGACATTTTTTTCTCTCACTATTGGATAACTTTAAATATCCAAGCAATTTCAAGAGTTTAAAACGTTATTAAGAAATTTATTTGTGATTCATCAAAGAATAAGATTTGATTTTCTATTCACGTTCGCGAAGCTTAGCTTGCAAAAGATTGGTCCTTTCTCAATCACTTATAATTTAAAAACTATTTATACTTGAGCACGTGTACTTTTTATATATAAGAGAAACTTGACTTCAAATTTGACAAAGATTTTATACGTAAAGTTTATCAGGAATATATCTGCGAACACTTGTTTTCAAGCTAAATTCAGCTTTCAGATAGAGGATTAAATAGTTCGTTAGACGTATATATTAAAAGGATATATTGTTTGCCTTAATAAAGATAATACTTACGATCGTCCCAACTGTCGTGTAATTTCTTACTGCCAGTTGCTCGCAATATTTTTTATTCGTACGAGCAATTTCACGAATGGGAAGTCATATCGACGTACCACTGAAAATGAAAATCGTCTTTCCGAATCAATCTGATTACGTGTCATTAGCGAGCGAGTCAAAAAAAAAACGATAATAAAACGCGTAGTAACATATAGCCTTTGGTCGTATAGAACTAGTGTTCTCCGTCTCCCGACGTCAGGAAATAAAAGAAAAAAAAACAAACAGAGAGAAGATGAAGGAGGCCGGAAGAGAGAAGGGACAGATTACGATTAAGAGATTAAGAGACACAGATTTACAAGGGCGGCTGCTGGGAGACGGCGTTGAAGTAACTGGCCCTCTGGTTGCGATACTGGGAGGCCACGACTGCCTGGGGATTCGGGATGTGCCGGACGCCGAGATTGGGCTTTATCTTCATGTTGAAGCCGGGGATGCGTTGATGCAGCTGCGGTATGCGCAGGGCGACCTTGCTGGGGGTGGCATGAAGGCTCGCGGAAGCCAACGCGAGCGCCTCCGGGTTCTTCTCGGTCAGGCAACCGCTCAGGCGGGAAACCGCGACGTCGGAGAGGGTCCTCAGATTCGACTCTTGCGGTCCCCGGCTACGCTGCTGATCCAGTTCCTTGGATTTCCGGAGGAAACTGTTGGCGCCGCCGATCGCCGGTCGCGCTGGCGGTCTCGAGGACGGCAACGACGACGATAACAAGGGCATCGAGCAGGACGAGGGCGACGAGGACGAAGAGGAGGACGAGGAGGAAGAGGGAGACGAGGAAGATGAGAAGGTGGCCGGCTGTCCGCCACCGGGCAACGTAGCCGATAGGTCGAGAACGTTATCGTTGACGGTGGTACCGCCGCTGCTGAGATCCAACGGCGTCTCGTACTTGGACGTGGTGTTGGACACCATCATTACGCCGCTGGTCGCGGCAAAACCGGACGGTTTCGCGACGCGCAGAGGCGCCAACGGCGGCGGTTCCTTCTTCTTCGGCGCGGTTAGGGAGACGGAGATAGGGGTGGATGCCGATGCGCCGACCACGGACGACGATCGTTCCTCCTTCGTCTTGGACATGATGCTCTTGAGCGCGTCGCGCATCTGCTTTTCCGCCAGCAGACTCCGCACGCGGTTGGCTTTGCTTTCGCGCAACTGTTTCTCCAGTTTTTCGCGGTCCAGATTGTCCGTCTTATCGGCACCGCTCTGGATGCGTTGCTTCGTCTTGTTGCCACCGGCCTCGTTGATAGCCACTAGACCTAGTCGTCGGAGAATCTCCTCGTCCTTCTTCGGCTTCTCCGGTTCGCCATTATTGTCCGATGTATTTTTCGACGCCGGTTCCGGTTCTTTCTTGCCAGGCATCCTGTCCACCGCGACGTCCTCGTTCGGATTGCTGATATTCTGCGCGATACGTACGACTTCGTCGGGAATGCTGTCGATGATGTCCTCGATCGTTTCCTCCGTCTCTATAGCGGCGCACTCTTTGGGCCCGACTTCCTCCCGCGTCAGTGAGCTCGTCTTCGATCGTTGTTGACCGATCGCTTTGATCTTTTCGCGCCTAACCGCCCGCATTTGCAGCAACTTCTCCTTCGTTTGACTACCTGTACCGACGCCCCCGGGACCGCCACCTGTTGCTGTGCCAGAGGTGATTCTGGGAGGACATGGTGTCAGGCGAACCTTGAGCTTTAGCAGATCCTCGCGGGGCGTTGTGGTGATCTCCGCGATCACCCGCTTGTTTCGTCGCTTGCGCCGCTTCCGGTGCTCCAGCCTCGTCAGGTCCTTGCTCTTCGCGCTCTCCGTCGACTGATGATGATTGCTCGGTGCAAGTGCGCTAGTTGGAGGATCGGGGGCACGCATAACGGGTGTCACCTCGCAACGCGGCTTCTTCGTTTTCGTCTCCTTGTCGCGGACGTCGACGTTCGTTTCGAGAACCCGAGGGGGTTCCGGCGCAGCGCGAGCCTCCGCTTCCGGTTCGCGACTGAGCTTGGGACTAGGCGGAGGGGTTGGCGGCCGTTGCATGATCTCGATCACCGCCGGGCCGTCCTTCGTTGCATCGTCCTTGCACGACGTGGGACCTTTTAACGTCGAACTTTTAACCGTCTCCTCTTTTCGTAACACCCGGTAAAACAGTCTCATCGGCGTTTCCTGCAACAGACGAACCATCGCGCCGCCATTCATAAGCCTCTTCGGCACCGCCGGCCGGTCGGGCTTGGTTTTAGCAAACAGGGGACTCGCTTGGAATTTTTTTCATGGGGAGTTTCTAGACTCGAGATGATTAAATTTATGAATGGCCTTCATTCTCCGAAGGCAGCTCTCTAGGGTAAAGTAAATGATTATGAGGAGAAAAAAATACCTTAAAATTAAACCTTGCATTCAGTTGCACTAAAAAGTATTGCAATTTCAAGCCTAACTTCTCAAGAGAATTATTTATTAAAAATTTATATTAATCGATTATTATTATTTATATTATTAGATTTAGATTTCTCTGTATTTATTTCCATAAAAAAACTTTTCAGCTAAAAATAATATTGAAAATATAAAATAAAAATATAAAGGAAATATAAATAGCAAATATTATATAATATTATATAATAGATTGAAGCAATAATATTTTAACAATACTTTTTCTAAATTGTTAATAAAATAGAATTGAATAACTGTAATTAAAAGTCTCATTGTTACTTTACTTTGATACATCGAATTGTTTATCTATTTAAGAATAAAAACTAATAATTTTACAAAAACTAAGTTACCAGAAAAAGTTTTCCACAAAACATTACTAGTTGTAAAAAGATACAGTAATTTTCTTTTAAAAATGAGAAATTTTTTCATGAAAACATATTTTTAAATAAATCCCCTGCAGTGTAAGAAGACCAATTCATTAGGTCGATTTGAAATCAGTTTACCATGCAAATTTCTGACAGTAGCTTCTATATATTTTTTTCATTTAAATCTGTTAAAATTATAGAATGTTTATAAAAAATATTATTTAAAAAATAAACTACTACTTCTTTAAAAAAACAAATAAAATGAGATTTTTTCAATTCTTTTCTAGAAAAATTTTTTCAAAGTCTAACGATAAATAAATAGATGAAATATTACCTTTTCAAGACTTACAAAGGCAGAGAAACTAAACGAAGAATCATTTATTTTCGAGGATCAATTTATTATACGCACATAATTTTTTTTTCTTTTTTTTTTTAAAGAGCATGTAAAGTCATCAAGAACAATGACAATTTCTTTACTGAAATAAGCTACATATATAATAAAGATGCAAAGATTTTACACGGAGAAAATATTATAAAAGTTGTAATAAAAGTTATAATATATAATTTTTGTGAAAAATATTAATATAAGAGAAATCATATTTTTATTCAATAATATTTTATATTTTAGAAAGGAATATTGCAATTATTTAAATATTTCGATGCATAATCGTTAACAAATAATAAAACAGATACATAATTTATGATTTTTAAAGTAAAAAATATCTTAGAGCGAATTTGGTTAGGTACATTAGTACGCACTGGTGCACATAAAGGCCATTGTAAATCAATTTATAATAGCATAAATAATTAAAACAAGATAATTAATATTTCGAATAATTATTATTCAATACGAATAACGATGATGATAACTCGTAGAATTAATTATCTTATTATTTTAGTTATTGAGTTTATGCTATTGTAAATTTGTACGACGACCTTTAAATGCATCAGTGCGCATTCTCTAGTTCATTCAATCGAATTCGCTATTAATATAATGTCATACAAATTGAAGAATGCATCACTTTTTATAACATAAAGCTGGAATATTTTGAAAAAAATATTCTAGTTTTATATTGTAAAAAGTGATGTATTTTTCATGCAATTTGTATGGTAAAATATATTTTCTATATGCATTCCATAAATTTACAGCCGTTATCGGTGAATTTTTCTCTTTCATTCGAAAGCTTTTCCAAAATAATATCTGTACAAATTAGTATTCCGAAAAGATAAATCATAAAATGTTGCCGCTAAAATGCGCAATAGTAACTGCACGAAATGTAAAGTTTTAAAAGATAAGAATTACTTAATATTAATCAAAATGCGCAAACATAAAAAAAAATTATTTTTTTTTCTTATAAAAAAAGAAAAAAATACAAACGCGAGAGAAAAATCAACTCGACGTGAATGTTTGAAAATTAATATAGGTTTAATAATTAGAATCTATAAAATGGATCAATTAACTGCCGCTCAAACTGAATCATAATACTCACCCTTTCCCATCGAAATATGCAAGCGAGATCCAGGAGAGTCCAAGATGAATCGAGTGGGCGCATGTTCTCGTCATCGGGATGCTGGTACATAATCTCTATCCTGTTATTGACGCCGTTGACGCTCGCGTTAGCCTCTTCCCAGCCTCTCTTGAGCATCAGCAGCCTCACTAGATGACGCACCGTCACGGCAGCCGGGCACTTGAGATATCGCGTCGATATTCCCGACACCTCGTCCTTCTGTGACGAGTCGCAAGCGTCATCCTTGATCTCGCTCTCCGCGTCCGCCCGCAGCTCCCGCAGGCTCAGACTAATCAGATCCTCCAGGGTGAGGTCGAGGGCGCCCACGGGCGACGCCAGGGGCGGGCATTGCGGATTCACCAGGCGGAAATGACGTCTACGCTCGAGCTCCGATCGGAAGAGACCGGGTACCGCGAGGTACACGAGTCGTTGGAGCCGCGTGTCGGGCAGAAGCGGCGGGGAAGCCGCCACGTTGCACACGGGGCACGCGCGGGCGCCGCTACTCAAACGTCGAACGATGCAGCCTCTGCAAACTGAGGTCCGCATCCGCGACGTCAAGGAAAAGTGGGTGATCGAAATCGTATTCCGGATCGATTCGAGCGATAGTTTTTTAAAACGATAATATAATTTCTTGTCAAATAAATCTTTCATGCGATAATAAATTGTGAAATAAATCATCCACTTTAGAAAAAAAAACATACTTCGTGTAATTTTGTAAGGAAGATGCAGAAAGAATTTTTTACAATTTATCTTTTTTTGTTGATATTATCTTTTATACATATGTATAAAAGAGATATTATAAAAGATATTTAAAAAATATATTGAACATTATTTTGTCAATTTGTAAATAAAAGATACATATAAATATATATATATATATATATATGTATGCATGTATGTATTAAATATTATAGTGTTAGCTAAGCCACAAAATATGATATTCCATTTGAAAAAAGCATATCGATCTATTAAAAATAATCTCGAGAAAAAGAAAAGAAGAGAAAAGGGAGGAAAGAAATAAAGAGAGAAAAAATTCTTTCTGTACCATATTTAGAGGCAGAAATATTCTTTTTTGTATCTTAAAAGTATACAAGTTATCTAACAAACTTTTGTGCTTATGTTAGAACATTAATGATAACTCGACAATTAATGATAAGAAATGATAGCGATGCTATGTATACAAAATATACTAACAGGAGTGTAGACATTCCACGAGTGTCGTAGCGTCTATGAGATATCCTCTGCACAGAGGACACACGATATGTTCATTCAAGTCTTTGACTAGCGGCTTCTCCCTTTCCTTTGCCTCCATATTGATAATCGGTGCTGAAACAGATGTGCCAATTGATTGTTAATCATCTATCACGAACGATATAGCTGGCATGTACTGCTGGGATATTAACATGTGCTCGATAATTACTCTTTAGCCTTCAATTCTGCTTCATTTAACCAAAGAGAATATCATGTGTTGCTTTCAGTTTATTTGTTGAAGTTGTGATATAATATTGACGTAATATTGAACAGCAACGAATATTATTTTCTAATCGATTTTTTATGTACACAAATTAATTTAATTTCGAATAATGGAAACTAATATATTTATATGGTCATCTTGTATATTTTTTAATCAAATAAAATAAATAGCATGTGTAAGAATTGGTTCATTTTCTTAACATAATCTAACAATAAGCAATCTTTTAGATAATATTATATTTTTTTCATATTCTTATATCTTATTCTACAGTTCTTATTCTGCATTTAAAATTTTTCCTAACATTACAAGTCAAGTTTTGCAAAAGATTTTTATAAAAAATCACTCTACATAATTTCTTCAATTTTCCAATAAAATATAATTTTAAAAAAATTAAAAAATATATAATATAAAATTCTAATAAAGCATAACGTAATATAGCAAAAATTTCTTATAAAATATAGTTAAGAAATAATAAATATTTATATATGTATAATCTATATAAAAATTAAAAATTGAATAAAAAACAGCTTACAAAATTTCAAGACTGGAAATAAATTTCATAATTGCAGGAAATATCCCAAAGCTCATCTAAATACGCTCTCTATTTCTCTCTCTCTCTCTCTCTCTCTCTCTTTCATGTGCATCTCGACAGCGTGCACACACTGATAAGATGCGTAATCAGTAGCACAAGCCGCTGCTGCATGCATCCGCGCAAACGCACGCGATCGCGAGACGATAATCCCTTGCAGCGCGTCGCGCCGGCGCGACGATATTCGTTTGCGCCCGAGACCGATGCACGACACAGCGCACGATTTCCGTGCGCATCGCTGCGCAATGTTGACGTACGTATGCGGGCGAGGTATGAGTGCGTCTGCCTCCCGCCGGGAGATCCCGGGGGAAATTCGTGCCGGCGTGGCCGAGCCTTTAAGGTCTATCTCTTAAAGGGGATGGTTTCCCTTTCTCTCTCTCTTTCTTTCTCTGTTTTCCTGTCGTGAGGACCGGCGAGATACTTTCGTGCCGGTAAACGTGCGCTCAGACGACTCTGTCAGGTACAAGTGTAAGTGCGTGCGCGTCGTCATAGTTTATTCGAGCGATCTTCGGCTCTCTCCTTCTCTCTCTTTCTCGTGCGCCTACTTGGCATCGACGACAAGAATAGCTAAAGGCCGTAAAGCATAAAGGAAAACGTAAAAGCGACAAGACAAAAAGTAATCACACAATCGGCATTTTTTCCTCGACATGTCGGAGAAGCTTGGCACGTTTATTACTCCATTTATTACTTTATGGAGTCTTCTGTTTAAATTTTTTTTATTTAGATATGCATTAAAGCTATATGCACGAATATAAATTTGTCGCGATCGAACGAGAAAAAGAGCATGAAAAAAAGTAACGAAAATCTGTTTGGTTGAAAACGCGCGAGCATTAGAAACTTATTTTTAACGCTCAATTAATTATGGAATTGGTAATTATCCCACGCTATATTTAGATGAACTCTGTGTTAAAATATCCTTCGAAATCTTAAAGCTTATTTTTGAATTTAAAATTCTTCAATCTTAATACATTTCCAGTCTTCGAATTTTCTAAGTTTTTTTTATCTAATTTTTAATTTTTGTATATAGAAAATCGTCGTTATAAATAAATAAATATGTACATATATATTTAATACTTTTGCGTTTTATTCTATTTTTTATCTATTCTATTTCGACGGAAAATTGAAGGAATTATATAGCATGAATTTTTATAAAGATCTTTTATAAAACTAGACTTTAAATTAAAAATTTATGAAAAAATTTTAAGTAGAAAAGATGTAAAATAAAAAGGTATAAGAATGTAAGCTAATGCTAATGATTACAGATGTAATCGATTTAGTATTTTCCAAGACTCTAAAAAGTGAAAGCATTATCATAAAGAGATATTGATTATTGATTTTTAATCTCATTCTTATAAAGAAATGTAGAAACTATATATCATATATAAAATTATGCAAATCTTACTTATAGTCATTTGCTTATCATCATTAAATAATTATTAAATGATTAAACGATGTAGACATACACATCACAATATATAATTTGTATCAATTATGAATGAAAAAAAAAAAAATTATAAGCAAGTAGTATAATTGAATCAAATTATTCAATTATCAGTTCTAAACTATATTGTCCCTCTCTTTATGATTATTTAAAAAAAACGTTAGAAATCTACTTTCACAATTTTGATTTAAGTATTTTATGCTTACTCTCTTTTACAATACCCTTTAAATATTATTACCTCTTGTGTTTCTTTGTCTCTTTTATGTAAAACTAAAAAATACGGTTCCAAAGCTAATTGTCCGTAACTGTATCAAATTTTCCGAAAGATTTCGATGAAATAACAAAACGCTACCGAATCCATGATGGTATAATGGGTGAGAGGGAGGTTAATGAACTTATGAAAAGGAAAGTCGACCACCACCTGTGTTCATGGTATAACGTTGCACAGACGTACGAATCCGTGCGAAAGCGATTCTGGCCTGTGAATGATCCGTCAAGGCCGAACGAGTGAGGAGAGGGAGACACGGCCTCTTGATTCCCCCTCCCTTCCCCGTGAGAGCGAGAAAGAAGGAGGGTATACGGGCGCCAAGTCCAGAAAACGTTCCTTGCATGCCGTGACTCGTCGGAAATCGAGTCACGTGTCATCGCTCGCGTCGGATAAACAAACTCGCGAGGTCAGACGAATTCGGATCAATCCTAAGACTTGTTGTCTATCGCCGAAAGGCTCAGGAGGAACGATTCGTTCGAATAACGCGCATTTCCTTTTCCCCGAAAGTCGGCCAAAAGAGGCAAGAACGGGTGACTGAGAATGAGGAGTTTTTGGTTTAGCAAATTCCAATTTGAATTTAAAAAATATATAAATTGATGTTCTAATCATTATATCAGAATATAATAATATATAATTATAACAAATATAATATACGTCGCAATTTTTAGTGCGATGATAGATGCAGCGCTTTAGTTTTTATGTAAAATTAAACAGCTATATAAATTTTAGCTATATTAATTTTTAATTATTTTTAGTTCAATTATTTCACGAAACGTTTCTTAAATACAAAGTAATATTCTACAATATGATGCAACTTCTAATATAATTACAATGAATATAATTCATCGCAATTTGTAGTGTGATAATAGATTCTTTTATATAATAAAAAATTAAACAATTATATATATAGATTAATTTTCAATTTCACAAACCGTTTCTTAAAGGTAAAATAACATTCTGTAATATGATGCAAATTCTAAAAATTATCTATCACTTATATTTAATTATTTTTAATATTTTTGTTTTTAATATTATAGTTACGTATAAATAATATTTTTAATTTATCTGAAAGCCTCAATTTTTACGAGGGCGTCGCAAATCTGATTACACATAAAGTTTATATTGCAAACAAATATTTCCATGCTAGAATAAAGTTCTTGAGAGAGATGCATATGTGTATATATGTATATGGGGGTTTTCATAGATTTCGAAACATTTTTGAAGTAAATGTCATGAAGTATGTCATGACGATCGCGATAAGAAAAGAAGTGATATACATATATAAATATACATGTTTCATACAGCTTTTAAAATGTATTAAAAGTTGTTTATGTAATTGAAGAAATAAAAATGAGAAATTGCATAATAATGAAAAAAAATGGCTCACAAAATGCATATTTAATTTGTGTTTCATAAATATTTAATTAATATCATAAATATTTAATTCATTTCCGTCATTTCCGTGTTGGATGATGTCAAAGCAAATGTAAAATTACTTTTTTTGTAACACGTCAAATAAGTAAATTCTCGATAAAACAAAAATATGCTAAAAATATGCTAAAAATTCTAGTTTTAATTTTTGTACTAATATTGAATATAACAATTGAATTTGTAAGTATTATTTTAAATCGTCCTGAAATATGGAGTCATTATATTGTTTTCGTTCGTTTCTTAACGTTAAAAAATTAGAGCGATATATTTAACAAACAATATATAAATAATATATAACAAATAATAATAATATATATAATATTAAAATAATAATATAATTAATTATAACGATATAATTAATAGATATATTGTGAATAAAAAATATATGCAGAAAGCAATATATTTTGTAAAAGATAACGTTGCTAATTTTGCGACATTAATTAATAATAATTTTAAATAATTATATTAAATGCGTAGTGTAAAATATATTTTTATTCACAGACATGAAGAAAGCGCGTGCGCAGAGTGTGCATAATATGTATATACATAACACTAAACACGTGACACTTTGATGGGTCGCCCTAAAATTCAACATTTTTCGTGTCGAGTTAACAGGCGAACATCGGGCGAAACAAAATACGATAAATATATCCCCAATATTAAATAGCCATCCGTCTACAGCATATTTTTACTTTCTCGTGCATTTCACGGATTAAAAATAGTTTGTTTACATTTTCACGCGCCGGTAAATCGCTCTACGTATTTTTGTCGTTCAGAAACGAATGAAATTTCAGTCAAACATACATTCTTCTTTATTCACATATCAGTTGTGTTGCGTCATATCATTGTAATACGATAGGTAAATTATCATTCGCGATAACTATGGAGGAGAAGGAGGTAGGTATATCGTACCTACACTCTTTTTCGTGTCGCGTATAAATATCTAAGTATATATATATACATTTTTTCTTACCTTGCTATAAAAAAAAATACCGCTTCTAATCGACTAGCACGCGCGAAAGGCGCCTTATCACTCCGTAAAGATCCAAAAGTGACGTCTGAGGCTCGAGGTCGCGAGCGTGCCCTCTCAGGTGGGAGACCCTGCCTTTTATACTCGGACTACCATGGACTCCCCCTCCTACCGTTCCGGAGCGGCGCTTTACGAAGTTCCGCTACAGGAGTACACACCATACACTCTGCGCGTCACACATACCGAATTGGAGCCGCGCGATATGTCACACCGATTCACGCGCAGCTATAGAAAGATAGAAAGATAGAAAGAGAAAGAGAGAGAGAGAGAAAGACAGAGAGCGGCACGCATAGCAGCAAAGTAACTCACCAGCGTATCCGAGAAGCCCGTCGTCGTCGTCGTCGTCGTTGTCGTCGTCCTCGTCGGCAGTGGAACGTAGCGGACGTGGCAACGACGGTGCGACGGCGATGGCGGTGGTGGCGGTGGCGGTGGCGGTGGCGGTAGCGGCAGCAGCAACGGTGGCCGCGATCGCGGCCGCGGCGAGGAGATGGCAACGCCGCTTCGTCCGTCGGTGTGCAACGGCGCCCTGGCCCCGAGGCGTCCGATAGCGCTCGTCACACGTAATCGTCGCTCTCGGTCGGCGACGCTGTTCCTCCTGCCGTGCGCGGCGGGCGCGAATCGTCGGGTCTACTCCGATGACTCCGGATAGGTAGACGAGCGCGCGGCGACAGCGGCCACGTAGCATCACGTCCCCGCGTTGGCCGTCATGGCTAACGACGACGCGACGGTCATGTCATGCGGACGCGCCTGCCAATCGTCGCCGTCGTCGTCGTCGTCGCCGTGATCGTCGTCGTCATCGCGTCGACCGTCACCGCTTCGTCTTCGTCTTCTCGCTCCGATCACCGTCGCGACTACGCCAGCCCGTTCCTTGTCAGTCGCGCTAGTCGGTCCTCGTCCTCTAGTCACCCACCGTCGATCGACCGGCGCGAGTCGAAGCGAAGGGCGCGCGCGCGCGCGCGCACACTCTTTCTCTCTCTCCGTGCTTCCCCTCTCGAGTTTCCCACCCCGCCCGTCCCTCCCACTCTCCCTCTCCTCTCCACCTTCCAACGCGCGCGACTTTCGCGAGACCGCCGCGCCACGATATAACGTTACTGTCGTCGCTCCGACCGACTTCTAGAGCGCGAATAGTACGACGCGAGATGATGATTATCTCGACGGATGGAGAGAAAGAGAGAGAGAGAGAGAGAGAGCGCGAGTGTGGCGATTGCGCCGAGCGGCGGGTGACGATAGTCTCGCCGCGATGCGTTTCGATATCAGCGCGATTAAGAGAACGACGACACTGTACGGAAAGAGAAGGCGCCTCGTATCGACCCCGCCTAAACCCCGCCTCGTTGCCACGGAACCGCACGAGCGACGCCGAGCGTCGACGGGCGTCGGCGAACGGCTCCTCTCCGATGATCCCATAGCGTCTCCTCGCTCCTGTTTCATTCGCGCGTCTTCGTCCGTTATCTGCCTTTCTCTCTTCTATCCTTCTCGTCTATCCCCCGCGGATGGAGGTCGCCGTTCCGCACCTATGTTCCTGTTCGACGTGCGGATCGCGCGTTATGTTTTCCGCGTCTTGTCGATCGATCGAGCGATCCATCGAATCCAGGGAACGATCTTCCCGACTCTCTTAGGCAACATCGATGCATCCGCTTTCGCGATCTCCTTTAATATTCTGAAATCGATAGAGCGCTCTTCTTTGCTAATCTTAAGTGTGACGGACGATGCGAAAACAAAAATCACAATTTAAATCGTGCGTTTCTAAATTTATACTTTAGATACGTATATTGAAAAATAAAAATGAGATTTTAAATAGAGAGATTAGAGAGAGAGACAGAGAGAGAGAGAGAGGGAGAGAGGGAGGAGAGAGAGGAGAGAGAGTATTTGACATTAAGCATGTTTGTTTCTAAAACGCTTGTACGCTCCTCTGAAAAGTTATGTATGATAAAAATATATTCTTATTATTCATTTTATGATATTCAATGCAACAATCGCGGAAAAAACTTTTAATGAGACAAGTGTTTTATAATAAAAGTAAGATGTTAGATCGCATAAAGAACGCTTTTGTTTCCGGCTTTTTACTTTATGTGACGTCCGTTATGATAATGCATACAATACTTGTATAATAGAAATGTTGTATGCATTAAATGTTGTATATTATCTGTATAGTTATCGTATAGAGAGTATCTTTTTTTATATACATATTTCTATCTATTTACATTTCACTATCTATTATTTCATGGCACTGTCTTTTCGGTTTATTTTTCTCCTTTCGAGTATCTAAATATTGCCTAAATTAATAAATACATGAAATAACAGCATCCTTAAGTAAAATTTAATCGAATTCTTAGTCTGATACATTTAGATAAAGCTTTTATCTTTTTACAATAGATAAAACTTTTTATATTTAAGGAAGCTTGTTATCACAAAACAATTTGTACGTTATAAATTTTACAATTTTATATAAACTCTCTTACGTATAATCATTATAAACAAAAAAGATTAAATTAGTTTATTTTTTTAATATTTATTAATTGTTAATTGAAAAATTAATTATTCTTTAATGATTGATCCAAAATGAATAATGACTATAAATAAATAATTTAATATTTAATGGCGCTAATAAATGCCATGCACATGAGAAAGAAACTAAAAATTATCTTAAAGTTTCTTGAAAGTATTAAGACTATCATGTATTTATTATACATATAATATACTTCGAAGAAGATCGACGAAAATGTATGCACAATAATTTTATTGCCGATAATATAGCATCAATAATTAACTGATTACATAAAGAAGTCTTGCAAGAGAGATTTTCCTGTCAAAAACTAATAATAATAAACTTTATGATTCTTGATTTTAATGTTATTAATGTTATTATTTTATATTATCAATATAAAATTAATCTTTTTTAAATCAGTGTAAAATACATTATAATTTGCCAATATTTTCAAATATACTCGTGGAAGTTCTTGATTAATTCTGGACATAATTCTTCTTTTAATATCTTGTCAAGACAACAATGATGACTCAATATTTGATTAAAAAAATTGAATTTTCGTTATCGATTTATTTAAACAAAATGTGTCAATTGAATATTATATATCATATAAAAGTCATATAATTTTAGCTCGACGAAAATAAAATTTTTACATAGCAAAATTCTAATGAAAAAATCTCGATCATAGATTATAAATGCAAAGCGGTCAATTGCAAAGTATTGTATATCGTGTGTATAATAATTTATAAGTATAATTTATAAAACTCGGTCACGTCGCATGCAAACAAATGTAGGACGGATGCCCATAGCCACTTATTTACTTGAGTTCTGATAGAACCGACACTTGCTTGCTATATCTGCAGCGATATATACTATCTACATTGCGTTAGTGATATTTTTTTTATCGGTGTCTTTTTCAAGTTGACTTTGTAAAATGGAATAGGTCATGTATGTTGTTTTGACACATATCCGTCGACAATTTTCCATCTGTCATTTCCTCAAGCTATTTCGGTATTCGCATGACAATTCTCGGTCCAATATTTTAATATAATCTAATCTCACTTTCACTTTTTAATTTTTTTATGGCTATATATCGATTGATTAAAATTAGATTATACATCAGAGATCGTATCTCACATATATTATATAATCATTAAATTTGCAATTTAATAAGTTTAACAAGCGAGAAAATAGACGTATAGACGATACAATATTTCGAAGAATGAAATTTTCAGATGGAAATGTCGGCGAACAAGTATCGAACCGAATAGATTGAAAGAATAGAAATATCTTGCGCGCTGGTTGTGATTTTTTTAGAGAAATGACAGATAGCAAAGTGTCTTGGTAAAATTGCAATCATTTGAAAAAATAATATCGATTAAACATATCGACGCAGAAAAATTATGTTTCGATCCGAAAACATAATTATTATATACTTCGATACATACGTATTAATGTCGAAAAAGAAAAACAAATAAAGTAATTTTAATTAATGTTTTCTCTTTTTCTCAGATATTTCGGAAAAACATATTATATGATATCTTAAATTGTTGTAAAATATCTAATAATAATAATAATAATAATTGAAACAGTGAATAATACATTTTTCAGATTATCGAAAGGTACATTAAATTATAAACATTATTAGTTTGTTACTGTTCTTTAGTACCATAAAATGATTTGAAAATGGTACAGGAATCTCGAGGATATGAAAATAATGAGATATTCTCGTGAACGATATTCGCGTTCATTTGTAAATGTGTTGTATCACACACATATGTAAACTATGATTTTATGATTATTTTCGTTAGTGTCTCAATAAAGCACAATATATACATTACCCGTTATTGATTTATCTTTTTTAAGCTGTAACATGTTACATTTCCTACATAAAACGAAATAAGCGTACATTCCTAAAACATCGAGTAAAAAAAAGAAAGAAGAAGAAAAATCGGAAGAAATCGCAGAATGCTAAAAGAACAATGAGTATTTCTCGATTATTCGAATCTGTCTTCACTTTCCATCTTGCCACTAGTCTAGTGCACATCACCCTATAAAAAGTAATAAGATAAAAAGCCATAAAACGCGCCGCGGAAGCCGTTTTCATCGTCCGGTGAAACCATGCGAGAGGGACGCGTGCGATTGTGTGCGTAAAAAGAGAAGAGTCGAGACGGGAAGGGGGCGAGATGGCAAGAGGGGGAGATGCCGGTGGTCGTTGATCGATCGGTCGCGATAGCGTCGTCGTGTCGTCGGAGGCCGCCAAACTGGTTCCTGGCGCGCGCGCGCGTCGCGTCCGTCGGGCGGACACGATTCCAACCTATGGACGAGCGAGGGGATGTGGTCGACGCCGTTAAAATGGCGTCCGAGTCCACCCATCTGACCCGCCTGCTCCAAGGCGCGCAGCTGCGGCTCCACCCGCCGCGTGCGCGAGCGACGCGATGACACGATGCGTCTCCGTCTCGCGCAAGTGGCATCTCACGTCCGTCGGTACGTGTCTCCGAAGCGACTTAGCGTTTTTTGAATAGAATTTTTTTGTCCTTTTCGAAAACATCGGCAGATATATACATTTATTTTTAGTGTGCAAAAATCTTTTCACGAGTTGTAAATCTTAACGCACGGTAGTCATATGTGCGCATTATTCCTTTCAGAGATGTTAAACATCCTGGAATTTTTCTCCGTTTTAATAATCATAAAGATATTTTGAATAAATGTAAGAATAAAATAATTTTTTTCAACTTCGATAAATTCATTCATGAGGTTATAAAGTTCATATTAAACTATGCATTGAAGATTGAAAATTGACTAACATTGACTAAGGAAGAAATTTCGATTTTTTTTTTGTTTTGATTCTTTTTCAACCAATTTTTAATTTTCAATATTTTTAATCTCTTCAATGCGTAATTTGATATAGGCTTAACGCGAAGATCCCATACCTGTTTGGAAAGTGAGATCGTTATTGCGTATTGAGAATTGTGTGCGAGAATGACACTTGGTTTTCATTTGTCCTAATCATTAAAATTTTCAATGCACGATCGCAATCTTCTGTTATAACGTCTCGATTTAGGCTGCGATCAAGACTGCACTATGAATGCTCCGAAACATCATTCTATCTTTATTTTCATGGAATGTAGAACAAGCATCCAGAGCGTCTTTCCGACCGCAGCCTTAATATGACATCTGATACGCTCTCTTATGACACTTCTTATGCGAAAAGGCACCCTGCTGGTGCGGTAATTTTGAAATTGCATATGGTGATCACTTTCGGCGAAACCCATAGAATATATGTAATAAATATAGAACGCGCACATTCTTTACTCGTAAGCACGATGCGTGTCTAAAAAGAGAATATGATGTTTCACGCGAGTATTTATATTTCTTTAACTTATGCTCGTGCATGTTTGCAACCATTTTTTATTTCTTTTACAATTGAAAGTGAAATTTGATTGCTATTAAAGCAATCTTCTCTCTCTTTACTTCACATTTATGGATGAAATTGTCTCGATTTTTTTTCTCATTCAAGCCAAATGTGAATAATAATTTTGTTCTCGATATTCATTTATCTACGCTACGTAAATGATCGATTTGATTGAATGTATCAATCTCAGATTGGAGTAACTAGGAAGGAAGAAGGGGAAAATAAGAAGGCGGGGAATGGAGGTCCAGATTCGTCATTTCCCATACAGTATAGAACGTTGCAGCAACGTTGCGGCAAATGTTCCGTGCTGTATGGTTTATAGGTCGGATCGAAAGAAGGGGTATCCCGGCGAAGAGTAACACAGGGAAGCGAGAAGAGGAGAAAGACAGAGATAGGAGGAGAAAGGGGTATTCCTTGCTTTTGATTTATGAAATCCGGTTATAGAAGGGCAATGCGGGATTTTATCGACAAGGACGACTATCCGTGATAAACATCTACATGTCTACACGTCTTATCAGACGCTTATCATGGATAGAATATAAAATAATTATATAATGTAATCATATATATACAATATAAAATGATAATTTAAAATTATATACATCCTAAAATCCCATAATACAACATATAATGCTAGTAAATTATATTCGGTAAAAAAAAGATTTAAGTAAAATATTATTCTTGTTAGAAAAAATAATAAAATATGTATGTATCAATTGGTCTCTCTCTATATCTCTTTTAAATGAAATTAAATTAAATTTCAAGAATACAAAGAAAATAAAGTTTTTTTTGCAAATGTTTTAATATATTAAGAATATTTATGATTCTGCTATATATTTTTACACAATGGATTCAATTAATAATGCTTTAATTAATCTTGTAAATTAGTTAGAGATGATATTCAATTTTTTTTATTACAATTTAAAATTTAAAAAATGTTTACTTCACGCAGAAAAAAATTCATTTGTAAATTTAAAATAATTTATATATATGTATATATATACATATCCATTAAAATTTTCAAGGAAAAAAGATATTAGAGTATATAAATATGTAATTACGTTTAATGATTACTATTCTTAATATATTAACTACAGTTTCTCTTTTACTATTGTTATATTATTTTATATCTGTTACAAAAAAAAATTAATATTACATTAACAGAAAGATCCGATTGATTATTTTCTATATTATTAATGAAACACCAGATTGATTTATTTTTCGGAAAAAATGTCATGTAAATCATTTCAAAATGAGAATAAGATTAAAAAAGATGAATATATGAATAACATATATACGATCATATATATATTTTTGGTAATAACGATTATATGTATTATATTTCATTATTACCAAATTTATTTATTTCAGGACCTTGTATAATATAAAAGATTTATTTTCCATTTTATATACACTTATTACATGAAAAATAGATGAAGGTGAAATAATATGGACGTACAATATCGGGACATTACAATGTCAATTATATCATAATTTAATTGCAATTGCAATTAAATATAATCTGAAAAAAATAAAACCTCTAAAAACGAGTTCTAAAGTTATGTTTTTTGAAAACAATTGACGAATGTTTTCTCTTCTATATAGCTATCCTTGAAGAATTTTATTTGTAATAAATCTTTTAATTCGTTAAAGAAATATAAATATCTCGATAGAAAGAAGAATACGGAATTTATCATGCGCAGTTTAAAAAACCAAGACGCTTGTTCCTCTTTATAAGAAAATTTAACGCTTACCAGTCACAATTCGTGTAGTATATATTTATTAATTAGAGAGGGTAATTCAACAGCACATCCTGCCGAGCCAACTCGAGCAACATGGGGTCGTCAAAGAATTTGTTGATGGAAACGTCCTCGGACAGGCCCTTGCGTCTTCGCGTTTTCAACATAAACTCTCTGGCTAGATGTGTAGCTGGCTGTGGTTCCAATGGTCTGATAGTTATACTCTTGTCCAGAGGATCACCGGGCACGATTTGCCAATGATGAAAGACAGATAAGCAAAACGCTTGACCTTGGGTGTGCGTCCGTAAATCTGTTTCAAAGCCAAAACTGTCGATGGCTGGTATAAAAGCTTTTATCGTATACAATGGACTGCCAGGTACCGGGGCATCTTGCGTTACATGACCTCGCCGTTTCGCCAAGACTGTATAAACAGCGGACACGCAATCCGCGGGAGCTTGCACTTCGACAAACAGATAAGGCTCCATTAAACGCGGAGTCGCCATGAGAAAAGCAGAATATGCGACACGTCGAGCAGTAGGAATGATTTGGCCGCCTGAGAACACAGAATCAAGATACATGGATATTATGAAAATTATTCTTCTTCTCTTTACTTTCATCTGTATAGTAGAATTAATTTTTTCTTTAAAATATGAACATTATACATAAATAAAATTAGTGACTACAAATGTATGACAAATGAATACTTCTCGTTGAAGTGAAAAATTTTTTTAAGATACTTGGTATAGTCCAAATTTTAAACAAAATGTTCATGGATATCATTTAAATCTGTTTTGACATGTATGCTTCCAATATTCTTCTTATACCATATATTATAATATTATAAATTAATGTTATTCAGTGACACTAATTAAATTACCTCCTCGATGCAATGGCTCCTGCGCGATGACAGCATCGAGGATTTTGAATTTGACATTTCGGATCGGCTCTTCGCACAATGGTCCTTCGCGAGTTCCCCACTGAAAGCCCTGAATGATAGCGTCACGTGCACTATTCAATAGTGTTTTATCTACTTCTGAAGGTAAAGTATCGTCCACTAGGATATTAGGTCCTGTAGAATCAGGACCAAATGCCCATATACTACGTGCTGCCAATAAATCCCAATCGTATTTTGTTTGGAAAAATTCTCCTAGTCTTTTTCTGTAAGAGAAAATTAGAATTAAATTAAAAATAATTTGAATAAATAAATTATGAATTTTTTCAATATAATACATGTGTATACATTATTATGATATTATGATACCATATATTTCAGAATTGGAGAATGAGAATAATGGAATATATTTTTTGTGAAAATTGTCAAATCAATATTTGATTTGTAAAAATGTCCAATGAGATTTCTTTAATAACTCTTTCCGACTTTCAAAGTAATTTATTATATAACTTCCAAATTTCAAATAAAATCTCTATACCAAATTCAGAAAAATATATATTTCATTATTTATTTTTTGAAATTTAATTCGTGGAAAACTTATTTATAATTTTAAAAAATTCAACATTTTTGCTAATAAACCTACTTCAAGACATTTTAGAAAATAGAAATCTCATTTTTCCCATTTATTCTCAGACAAAAAATATATAATATAAAAATAGTAAGCACATATATTGACTTCATATAATTACTTACTTGTTCCATGTGATACGGACATGTTCAGCTTCTATATCCTCAGCAAGACCTCTCTCCAGTGGTTCCGCTATCATCGTCAATTTATTCCGTTTATTCGGCGTTTCAGCGAAACATTTGAGAGAACTGGTCTCCACTACGGTTTCTGCGAAAGCGACTACGGGATCGGCCACTTTTATATCAATTTCTGAATACATGCGACGCAGATCATGCATCGCGCAATCGAGATAGAGTTCGCCAGTTCCCAGGACAACGTGCTCACCGCTTTCCTCCACCCGCGTACCCAACAATGGATAGCTCTTGTTCACTTTTCGTAAACCATCCAACATCTTGGGTAATTCAGATGGATTGACTGGCTCGACGGCGATTTTGATGACGCTTTGTGTGTTGAACTTGAGTGGCCGAAAGATATGCAAATCTTCTGAATTATTGAGATCCGTAATGGTGCTAGTCTTCACGATCGGTCGATCGATACCCTCGATAAGGACCCAATTACCCGCGGGCACTCGACTCAATTCGATCGAGTAACGTGCTTCACTGATCCATAATCTACCTACTGTGAGAACACGTGAATCTTCCTCATCCGTGCGTGAATATGCTTCGCCTAACACGCGAACACGTTGTCCCGCTTCCAGCGTGCCAGACATAACTCTGCCAAGCACTACAAATAAAGTGCAATCCTCGGTTGGATACATCTTTGTACTATGAATCATTAATCTTCCCTAGAAAAACATTTGTTTACATACTATTAATATGTATGATTATTATAATTCTTATAACAATTCGATATTAACATCTAATCAAATTAAATTGCAACAATTGAGATTCAAATTAAAATACTAACGTCCGGGTCACAATTAACCATATCCTGCGCGAGCGGTGAATCTATCGGACCAGTATAAACATGTTGTACTTTATTAGGTGCATGTGCTTGTGGGCTAGGTACGTGAGCGACACACATATCGACTAATCCGCACATATCTCCTAAGAATCGTGTACAGACAAGTCTTAGCAGCGGTCGTATATTCATCTTCATTTCTTCGGATGTCAATCGTATGCCAAGTTCGTCCAAAACTATATGTATAAAACATATAATTAATTCTCGAAATTATTTCTTAATTATTATATATTAATTATTACAAGTTATAATCAAAAAGAGAAGAAATGAAATTTACCATCTGGTAACGTTGTGTCTACGTCGCCGACGACTTGCGCAAATATCTTATACAGAGGCTCCAAGATGAACTCGATAAAGCTTCGCTGCGCTGTATTGTGCGGAGGTTTTTTAGTGAACTTTCGCGTTTTAGGATTAAAATAAATATCGCCCCAGAGTCGCTTGGCGAACTCGCCGGGATTGAGTCCGGGATAGTTTCTAGCATAAAGGGCAGCAAATGATTTCAGAGTGAAGCATACATTGTATTCAGAACTGGCAAAACAAACGTTTCCAACAGCGGGCGAAACAAAAGCGGGATTCTCGACATCCGAGGAGTATAATGCTAGTCGATGTTTGAGTCAATAAATAAAAGCTACATTAGATATACCTCAGTGGTTTCTCATCAGTTATACTGTGTAAGTAAGGATGTGTTTGTTGTACCAAACAATCAACCAAAGTGGTTTTGCCATGATGAAGATGTCCCAGCAAAACCACATTTCTAATTAGATGCGGAGCATCCATTATATCTGCCAAGAATTCAATGCTATATGTCGTATCAGGCAGCTGTTGCTGTTTTATTTAACTTTGGTTTTCTAGGAACTTTGGTTTTCTAGTAGGTGCTATCAATGGTTTATCTAATGGCTGCGCATCTTCTTCTTGCACAAGTGTTTCTACCTAAAAATATTTATAGAAAAAAAGAACATAACAATTGTACAATATATCTGCTTTTATCGATAAATCATAAGGATATATTTATATTCCAATTGAATATACATAAAACTTAATTGTAACAATATTTAATAGTTTTCAATCATAAATTAATATGACTTTATTACCTCAGGTCCATACACCTCTAATGCACTTGGATAATATCGTTTGTCTTCGTGTAATACAACTGCCATACATCTTGTAGCAAAAGAGTAACAGGAGTTGTTTTGTAGAAACCACCCCTTTGTTGCTCGGTAAACAATGTATCTGTATACCTAATGATATATAAACAGAAATGAGAGGTTTCATTTTCATATGTTTGAGTCAATAAATAAAAGCTACATTAGATATACCTCAGTGGTTTCTCATCAGTATATACTGTGTTAAGTAAGGATGTGTTGTTGTACCAAACAATCAACCAAAGTGGTTTTGCACATGATTGAAGATTGTCCCAGCAAAACCACAGTTTCTAATAGATGCGGAGCATTCCGATTATATTCCTGCCAAGAATTCAATGCTATATGTCGTATCAGGCAGCTGTTGCTGTTTTATTTGGAACTTTGGTTTTCTAGTAGGTGCTATCAATGGTTTATCTAATGGCTGCGCATCTTCTTCTTGCACAAGTGTTTCTACCTAAAAATATTTATAGAAAAAAAGAACATAACAATTGTACAATATATCTGCTTTTATCGATAAATCATAAGGATATATTTATATTCCAATTGAATATACATAAAACTTAATTGTAACAATATTTAATAGTTTTCAATCATAAATTAATATGACTTTATTACCTCAGGTCCATACACCTCTAATGCACTTGGATAATATCGTTTGTCTTCGTGTAATACAACTGCCATAGAAGATCCTTGCTCCAATTGTTCTCGCGATTCATCCCTGTCTTCTTCCATTTCCTCATCGGATCGTTCTCTATCTTCGGTATCGTCACCAACATTGCCATATTCATTTTCATCCTCGCTCTCTGATGCCAGATCAGGACCAATATAGTTTCCAAATTCGTCATATAAATCGGCATCCATTTTGATACTTCTATTAATTCAGCTTCCTTTGATATCTGATATAAAAATTTGAAAATTATTTTATTATTTCTTTTTAGACACATTCGTGTTATACATCTCTTTATGTAATCGTTTTTTATTCCGATAAAAGAATGAAATATATACGACCATATAATAATAATTCATTATTATTATTAATTTTTAACAAATTTTTCACATGAGGTAAACAACTTGAGATTTAGGAGCAAATCGTATGTTAATAATATGGATTAAAATTTTAAGAGATGTATAAACATATACATACATTTGTTTGCTTTGCTTATTATTATTTTATCACAGTTTTATTAGTCAACTTTAACATACAAATATGTATAAGATAATGCATTAATGCAATGCACTTGTCAATATAACCTACAAATAACTATCGACACCGGTAGCGACACAAGTCCTTCTTCGAAGTTAGCGGCAGTATGAATAACATGTTAACGTGCAATTTCATTGACGCTAGAAACCAGCGGCAAATTAAAATCACTAGACTTTCTCTAGATATGGCGTCAATAAAATAAAGTTCAAACAGTTTCAACTTTTTCAGTGTGTAAAGCGGTCTTTTCATTGACGCTACTTTTTAGCGTCAATGAAATTGCACCTTAAAACGTATTAGATAAGCGAGCCAACTCGAGCGTCAAAACACGTGCGCAGCACCTTGCATAACTGAACAGAGATTCCAGATCTGACGCAAAACGCTAAAAAATCTAAAAAAATAAAAATATAGAGTAAAAGAATTCAAAAAAATTAAATAATAAAAAAAAAAATAATATAAAGAAAAAGATATCAATAAAATATATATAGAATGCCGATAAGTATAAAAAAAAACAGAAGAATAATTGGCATAAATATATGTCTAAATACAAATGAATATTATTTATAAATTATTTTGTATAGGAAAACTGTATTGCACGAACTTTTTTTGTTTCTTATATCATGATTAATAATGCTGCTACACTAAAACATGAGAAACGAAAAATGAAAATAATAAAAAAAAAAATAATAAAATAATAAAAATAAACCGCAATTTAGAAAGAGTACGCAAAAATATACAACTGCGCAGTAACTGACTTAACGTCGACGCAAAACTCCATGTAAAAACAGTTAGCAGCCCTACGAGATAGGCTGTGCAGCACTGCGCGATATAAAATAAATTTGAAATCGCTTCTAGCCTAACCATCTTCACGCGATCGACTTTATTTGAATTGCACGGCATCGCATCGAATTATGATGCGGAGCCGATTTGTTCGAACGTAATTCGGGACATCGCGATGCTGTATAAGCGTCGAATGAGCACGAATTATCACGCAAATATGATAAATCACATCTACTCACCGTTCACCGGCTGGTCCACAGGCCGCTCCACTCGCTCGCCTCGAGACGTCCAATTCCGATCTTTATGCGCACAAACTCACACGATATCATCAACGCGAACGCGCGACACTTTATTCAGCACTCCCGATATTCGCTCGCATCCGATAATCATCATCAAGGGCGCAAATAACGCGACGCGACTTCGCTCCATCTTCGCGATCGCGCTATCACTGAACTGTGAAAAAAGCTGTCGCGCACTTTCACCGACATATTATGAAAGTCGCGCGATCATCCTTGGACACTTTCGACGCTCTTTCGCTCGCGATATTCGTTTAAAAACGGTTAAAAGACGCGAAAAATGCGGACGTACGACGATCCGTGTAACTGCGTATGACTCCGATTCACGTATGACGCGTATGACGTAGCAGTGACGCGTATGACGTAGCGATCACGCGCTAACATGGCGGCCGAACCAGTGCGCAGAAACGAATGCGCACTGGTTCGGCCGCCATGTTAGCGCGTGATCGCTACGTCATACGCGTCATACGTGAATCGGAGTCATACGCAGTTACACGGATCGTCGTACGTCCGCATTTTTTGCGTCTTTTAACCGTTTTTAAACGAATATCGCGAGTGAAAGAGCGTCGAAAGTGTCCAAGGATGATCGCGCGACTTTCATAATATGTCGGTGAAAGTGCGCGACAGCTATTTTTCACAATTCAGTGATAGCGCGATCGCGAAGATGGAGCGAAGTCGCGTCGCGTTATTTGCGCCCTTGATGATGATTATCGGATGCGAGCGAATATCGGGAGTGCTGAATAAAGTGTCGCGCGTTCGCGTTGATGATATCGTGTGCATCAAGATCGGAATGGGACGTCCCGAGGCGAGCGAACTGTCCCGAGGAGGAGCGGCCTGTGGAACAGCCGGTGAACGGTGAGTAGATGTGATTTATCATATTTGCGTGACAATTCGTGCTCATTCGACGCTTATACAGCATCGCGATGTCCCGAATTACGTTCGAACAAATCCGCTCCGCATCATAATTCGATGCGATGCCGTGCAATTCAAATAAAGTCGATCGCGTGAAGATGGTTAGGCTAGAAGCGATTTCAAATTTATTTTATATACGCGCAGTACTGCACAGCCTATCTCGTAGGGCTGCCAACTGTTAAGGTGCAATTTCATTGACGCTAAAAAGTAGCGTCAATGAAAAGGCCGCTTTACACACTGAAAAAGTTGAAACTGTTTGAACTTTATTTTATTGAGCCATATCTAGAGAAAGTCTAGTGATTTTAATTTGCCGCTGGTTTCTAGTGTCAATGAAATTGCACCTTTACCAACCGAAAAGATTGGTATCGCTTATTTGATCGCAGCCATAGACGTAGAGAATAGAGAGGAATCTTCAGAGAGAAGACTTTCGATACGAATCGAGTGTCGGGCTCCCTTTTTCGCGCATGCACGAAGATGACGAGCACGCATATGATCCCTTCAGTTTGAGCGGGATCTCGTTTTGACACATTTCATTCATGTTTTTAATTAATTTTCCAGAAATTTTTAAATAATTTGCAAAAACGATTTCGTAAAATTGATCTTTTTTATTTATTTATTCATTTACTTCATTCTAATATCATATTCAACACGCATGGTCGAAAAAAGAAGAACAGTGTCTAACAACACTGTTTATTATCTATGGTCGTGCTTGCAATTGCAACTTGCAACACACTTCATGTCGATGAACACTACGCGCACGCGTCTTATTGCATGCGTGTGTGCATAAAAATGTGTATGTACATTTACACTCTCACCGTATCGCGAAAACACACTTTACACACACGCGCAAGTATATTTGCACACGGTACATATCTGCGAATTGACAGCTGCCAGCACGAGAAGCAGAAGTGGCAGATCATGTAAGGTGAGCGATACCTCTTTACAGAACAATTTTTTATCGCAAAACGCGATAATATTCCGTCTATTATTGCACGTGAATCCGTAAACTGTAAAACTGCACAGCGTCTCTTCGATGAGAAATCGAAGGAGAACAAGTTTATTCTCGCATTGTTGCACGCGCGATTGACACACCCGCTAATGTCGACGATGTCGCGGTTTCGCATGTTTATTTGTAAACTGTTAAAAAAATTCCGACGCATTTGTATCTGGACATTCTAAGATCCAATTGTTGATTGTTGCAGAATCTCTCGAATCGGCAAAGCAGTTTACCATCCCACGAACGATTGCACTGCCAAAGAGACACGTTAGAAGAGTTGGCAGAATAGGCAGACGCAGGAACAGTAGCGGGCGAAGGAGTGGACGATCCAGAAGCGGAATGACACGTCCTCCTAATAATGACAACCTTATGACCTTTAAGTTGGTCGTTGTTGGAGATGGAGGGGTCGGCAAGAGTGCTCTTACAATACAGTTTTTTCAGAAACTGTTTGTCGCAGATTATGATCCAACTATCGAAGATAGTTATATTCAACACACAGAGATAGATGGCCAATGGTGTATTTTGGATGGTAAAGTTTTTACCTTTTTTTTTTATATAAATATATATCTAAATACTTTATTATTGGTGTGTCACTTTGACTTGTATTATTTATTCTCTTGAACAAAGATTCGATAATTAAATAATTGATAAAAGATTATCTCAGAAATATAGAACATTAAAAATAACTTCTCTAATAGATCCTTGTGTTTGTGTTCTTGTAGTGTTGGATACAGCTGGTCAAGAAGAATTTAGTGCTATGCGTGAACAATACATGCGTAAAGGTGATGGATTTCTTTTGGTATATTCTGTAACCGATAAACAGTCTTATCAAAACATTGTCAATTTTCACACTCAAATTCTACGAGTAAAAGACAGAGATATTTATCCTATGCTATTGGTAGCCAATAAAGTTGATCTAGTGCATTTGAGGAAAGTCACAGAGGAACAGGGAAGAGAATTGGCTCATCGTTTGGGCATACCTTATATTGAAACTTCTGCCAAAGATCCACCCTTAAATGTAGACGCTGCCTTTCACGAGGTAAAAATGATAGATAAAAATATCACGGACTGTTAATTTTATTTACATTATTCAATTAATATAAAGACTTGTGATGTTTGTTCAAGGTTGTTCGTATTATCAAAAATCAACCACCAGCCGAATTGGAGAAAAATCAAAGAAAACGACGGCGCTCGAGAAAATGTAACATTTTATAAGTTACAAAAACAGAGTATATGTACGCACATCGTGTGTAAGAACTAAGGACCATGGGTGCTGCATCGTAATCGTGCAACGCCTTTATTCCCGAGAGAGTACGTCCTTGAGTTTAGGAGGTTCATCAAAAAGAATGATTCTTCTGTTTCCCAATAAGGTATCTGTGACTATCTTTTTATCTTCTGCTCCTCTTGCTTTATGCCATAGCATTGACAACTGCTATGAAGTATTTTTTGCTTCATACTCTGTGAATGTTATATCTGTGGAGAATAAGTATCACAGAGAGTGTGCCAATGCGAAACAAGAGAACTCTGACATTTGTATCGCGAAAATTAAATTAGAATTTTCGAATCTATAGTTCAGGATTAATTTATTATGATAATTGTGGCAAAAAAAAGGAGCATTGGAGATATTGACTGTTCATTCTTTACATGATAAATCGAGACCACGTCTCTATCCGTGCGTACACATCAATTTTCTACCATTGAAAAAAAAATGGAATTGAGCGTTTTTTATTGCACAATGCATAATATTAGAAGAGTTTTTTTACTCTTCTCCATGTAAGAGAGATCTTTGTCATAAAATGACTATAATGGTTTCGTATATCGACTCACCGTATATCGAGCTCACTTTTCAGATAGTTATAGATTTAAGCATATTTATTTTATTACGATGTCGTTTTTCTTTTCTCATATAGACGGAATATTCTCTTCATAAATTTTATCACGTTTTTTAAAATCGAGCACATTAAATGTGTATCTTTTTGTGACTTGAACCCTTCCATTTTTCTATACTAGAAATATATTTATGAGAATTGATTACATTAATTGTTCGCATAATTAATAAAAGTAAAACAGTATTATTTTATTTTTTTATGCATCATAAGATATAAAATAAAAAATTACAACAAAAAATTTAATACCAATGCGCGTGATTATTAGATAATTTTTCAAATACAATAGGGAATTGATTAAAATTATAAAATATCTATTATGTAGACAATTTTATTAATGATCATTATATTATTCAGTTTATATTAGTCATTGTTAATCGTTTCACAGTATATAAAAATATCATCAGATTTAATTCCTATGTTAATAAATATTTTCGCTTTATTGTCAAAGACGCAGTTGTTGATCTAAGTTTAAATTTGAATATAAGAAATATATAAAATAATAAGTAAAGGGCTTTTTTGGTAACAATTGCCTTTACTACTAATTATTAATTTTTGTACATAGAAGTCTGATATATAAAACATTTATTTCTATTTCTTTTATTTCTCTTACAATCTATTTTAAACGATAATGTTAAAACCGAAATATTTAGATTGTTAAAATTTTCGAAAGCATTGTGATCCTAATTATTTGCCTATTATTTTATTGGTAAAAGAGAGAAACATGTAGAAAATAAATTATCTTTTGTAATTCGGATTATATTATTGCCATCGATTAAAAATATTTTAGATAAGACTAATTATGTCTATATAATATTGAATATTTTATTATTTTATTATTATATTATCGATTAAAAATATTTTAGATAAGACTAGATAATTATGTCTATATAATATTAAATATTTTATTATTTTATTATTATATTATCTATTTTTATATATATAATTGTCTATAAATGATTTGTTATTCTTTGATATTTTTAAATGAAATTAATTTACTTTTTAAATTCTTAGATATATACGCACGCGTGCGCGTCTATATCAGACCTTTTTATACACTGAAAGAATATGGCCTACATTAGTGTTTAAATGTAAAAGAAAATCTATATACTTTATATATTTAAGAAAGCATCTCTACGTGTGCGCATCTATAAATTAGCTAAAAAATTAGTGTTATGTGTTTTGAAATGTCTCTTAATCTCTCAGATTATTTCCCGTTCTTGTAAAAAATTTCGATTCTTCGTACTTGCGATTTGTATCTTGTACGCAGATCGCGCGTATACTCTATATGTTAATTATAAAAAGAATAATTAATTCGCGCGATCACATTTCTTTATGCGCGTTCGCACATCCATGCACATAAGTTATTTTCTCGTTATTTTACAATCTACTAGTACGTTATTTCTATGTATAGAGTTATAAACTCTCTTTGTTACGCTATAGGCAATTTTTCTCTTACGGGTGGACACACATTAGCACAAACATATTGTGTCGAGGCAGCCTTATTACGTGCAATTAATTATACTGCGCGCAAAAACGTAGTACGTAAAAATCCTGCTGTTATACAAAATCATCTCAGATTATCTTTTGAATATAATAACTTGAGGTGTTATTTACTTCTTGGATATTATATGTGTTACACAAGTGCTCTGCAAAGTCTTTCACGCAGCTATTAGCATGCAATCTGTTAGAGTGTCATAAAATGACGTCACGTATGATTAATATCGAGTTAGATTTCACCGTGCAACATTATTTTCTATCATAATCTTTTTTATTACATGGGCATTTGAAAACATTGTGTTCGAAACAATTAGAGGATCACTTTTTTTATAACAGATATTCAACATGAAAATCTTTTTTAGCAAATAACATTTAATTTTTAATATCATTGTTTTTTGCTCTTTATAATTCTATATAATTTCCCGAAAGAGTGATCCTTTTTAATTATTTTGAACGGGGTGCTATATTTATTATACATTTGATTGTACAGACAGAGTGTGTGCTGTTTAATGTACACTGATAAAGGCTCTGTCTAAAATTGTTTGGATCTGTGAATATAATAATAAAAAACAAAATACATACAGGATGGCGCATTTTAATTTCGTTAAAATTATTTTGTTTTTTTTTTCCAAAAAAAGCTTGAAACAAAATTTTTTATATAATACGCGAATATTCTCTCTCGTCAAAACTGTGCGAGTTTTGAACAGAAAGCTTTGAAATTTTTTTTTCTAAATCATATTCCGGCAAAATCAAAATGCGTTATTTAAAAAATGGGCTATTCTGTAAATATATACATAAGAATATATTTATATTAAGTACATATATATAATATGTGTGTGTATTATATATAAGATCATAAAAACGGGACATCCCATCGCAAATGCGTGTGTATGTATGCACACATTCCTTATATATCATTTCAAAGTAAAAAAAAAAACTTCCTCTTTTATACCCTCATCGTACGCGAAATATTGTATACTTTACGATATCAGAACCATGCATAAAAAAAACTCAGTTTCATTACGATCATGAGAATGTTCCGATTGTTGTTCTCGTAACGAAAACGATTGTCAAAGACGTTTAATTAATCATTATATCGGGTAGAGTTAAGAGAGGACGAAGCTATAGTCGCGTATAACTCGTTTGAAATTTTAGATACTCAGGATTTATAGCGTTCCTCGGATACTCATGTGTCATATGATCTATAATAATGCGTCGTTTTATATCGCCGTCCATGAGAGTACATGAGGATAAAAGGGAATAAGAGGTGCAAGATTGTGTCCAACCGTGGGCGGATGAGGTCCACTTGTGCGCGTGAACAAGACCAAAAAAGGGAAGCGCGCGATACATATTTATAACAATAGAACGCAATTCGTGTATACTTAAGTACGTTTGTGGACATGTATAGATAATTAAGGCGTCAAACTATCGAATGTATCGATTTGTTTCCACTAGTAATACAGCTGGACAAGAAAATTCTTTTTTCAAACCAAAGAAAGAAGGCAATTAATTGTTATAATTTTTTTTTAATCGAATACAATTTCAAAATGCGATTGCGTATGTTAACAGTTTAATATTCACTTTTCACAGAGATGTTTTACATTATTTATACGACATACGTACTTGAAGACATTATCACAATCGATAAAATTATTTATTTTATAAATCTAGAAATCTCTTAACACATGCGATCTGTCAAACATGCAATGCATTAGTTGATAATCGATCGAAAGATGATAGTATTAATAACAGAATTTTGTAATAAAAAATATAATATATCGATGAAGGATTCGCATAATTTTATTATGAAGATCTGGTAGGAAATTTTAATTTAAAGTAATAAAAAAAATGAAACCTTCCAGCAAGAGCTTAAATTGGTCGTTGGTAAAATAAAGTACAGTTATGAAATTGAAATTAGAATGGTCATGAATATTACACATTTAATCCTGATCATTAGTGTCGTGAAATGGCCAGAGAGAAAAAAATTACTTTCAGGATGAAAAATCGATAATACGCTCGTCACCTACTTCTAGAAGTTAAATTATCTATGAAATATATATATAAGTCAATATATTGAGCCATTGTGATAACGAAAATACGAGAAGAAATAGAATGCAGAAGGTTGTGAGTGTCACATCATCGAAAGACCAGCCGTTTGAGACATTTGATTTTCCGAACATTGATTATCGAAAAGCATTTTTTCTCAAGAAAAAAAATTTATCATCGTTCGCCCACGTTCACTATTATCGTCGCTCGTCGCCTCACACATGCAAATGTACAACTTTTACATCACTGTGTAAAAAAAATAAATAAATTATAGAATGACGACGCATGCAACACGAAACTATTGGTACATAAGTAAGAAAAAGACGAGAGAATAAATAATATTAGGCGCAAGGGGAGCGTAACATCATTCTATGAACATGTATACATACATATTAATGTGTGTATATATGTATAATTACGAGAATTATATATTTTGAAATAATGAACGAGAGAACAACATGAGCGAAACGAAAATTTTCCCCTTCCTCTACTCCGCCTTACGAAAATAATTATACCGAGCAAACAATGCCGATGTATATCGTATGTATACATCACAGTATGTGTGCGCGTGTGTATGTGTGTGTTGCATATGTATAATCTTTCATATAATATATATGTATATATAAGAGCATATACACGTATGTGCGAGTGTATTTGCATACGTATGCGTGTGAATGCCCAATTATTTTTTTTGTTGAAGCGTGTGTATGACTGCGCGTGATTTGCGAGCGTGTCACTAACTATGCTAGTCTGTATGTATGAAGTACATTGATAATAAATTATAACTCGTGTTTACAACAACTGTCCCCCGTGTTTACGCGCGTGTCACCTCTTTCATATATTCCGCTCCATTTTACGTACAGTTTTGTCATTCGTCCTGTCTGTAAAAATAGTAGAGGAAAGCTCGCTAAAACCGACGTATCATTTTATTTTGGAACTTTAACTTCTAGCTGAAAGTTCAAAAAGTTGAAAAATTTACATTCATAGATACTTTCTAAAAGAAAAAAAGGATACATTTTTTTATAGAAAATAATTGGGCTGAAAAGAATTACTTTATAAATATATGAAATTATATAAAATATAAATCTAATATTACTCTTTTTACATTTATTGTTTTATTTTAATATTTGTTACATGTAATATTATTTGTAAATAATTAATTTTTATTTTATAATGAGCACTTTAAAGAAATTTAAGCGCCTTCGAGAGATGACAAAATTATACATTCTAATAATTCATTTATATAGATATATAATTTCAAATTT